TGCGCGCAGATAGCTTTTTAGTAGTTTTCAGACTTTTGCCGAGTAAAATTTTTTATTTGCACCTTAACGACATTTTTTTTTGTTCAAAAAGTCCTAAGGCCAACACAAAATTGAAGGATTATTGTTTCATAAACCGAAAAAGGTTTATCACTTTGACAATAACGGTTTTAGAGTGCCTATTTAGGTTAAATTTTCGAACATTTCCCTTCTTCTCCGTGTAGAGTTAGGTGGGACCGAGGCGTCGTGCGACGGAGGCAGGCGACTTTAATATTCATTTGTCGTATTAGTATCTATTGTGCCGTCAACGGAAATGTCAAAAAATTAAGCCTAGTAATTATGTTTCAGCCGAGGGTCTTATAATTTGAACCAAGCCCGTTTAAGGGTCTCTATTTGATGTTGAAACTTCGAAATTGCCGTATTAATTGTTCGGCCTCTTCCTCATTAAATTGCAGTGATGTACCGGTATTGATTGGTCGGCAACAAAGGACACTACAGTGGGCCATTGTGTTTGTGTTATTGGGTTGTTTGCGTTTTTTGTGTTTTAGTGTGTGTGCCGCTGAAGGGGGTTCTGGTTCATATGTTTGCTTTTACAAGCAAACCCAGTTACACCTGACTAAAGATCTCTCGTTTTCATGAAACCAATTCCGTGCCTTTGGTATGATGCGTCATTTATATACGACAATTTACCGGAGGACACAGCTTAGTTATCTACATAAAGCACTTATATTGTTGCTTACGACCACTCTGACCCAACTTTCATGTTTGTAGACAAAATGGTTCTTGGCTTGGGCTTTATTTCGGCAACTTTTTATTGGTGGGGCCTAAGTGAAAAAAACGCCCAAGTTGGGCAGGCCATTGGGCTGGGCTACGTCTTCCTGGCGGTATTCCGGCCTGTGTACGGGCCGGGGTAAACCGGTTTTCCACGACTTGCTCTGTCCTCCCTGGTTTCTCCCTGTAATTGAAACCAAAATTTTGTCTATGGTCTTCAAGTTCTAAGTCAATTAATATAATTTTGGGTAGATTGAACGGGTTAAAAGAATGTATGTTGTGTAACCCCACCTTAGTAATTAGTCAGGCAATTACTAAGATAGATTATAATTTTCTCGACTCTAACTAAAATTAACGGTGGAATATAATAACAAAAGCACACACAACATTCAACTTACCACTTTTCAAAGACAACTCCACAAATAGAGAATGTATGAGCGGCTTTCAGTCTCCTTCTTGGTTATCTCATGGTCGACTTCAAGAACGGTGGTTCATCACACTAGTACACTCGTCAACCTGTACGGGTTTACTTTCACTTACAGGCTGACGTGTGTAGGAGAAGGGGATAAAGAGTCTTGGGGTTTTTTTCTTTAGTGGTATAGTTGTAAGACTACGATTCTTTAATGAAGTTTGGAAACTTATGAGATATAATCCTCCTTTTATATAACAAATTAGAAGGAAAAAAATATATACAGACTTCAGTATTCTGAGGCTCTGAGCCCCATTTCTTTTACTCACAGACGGCAAAAAAAGCCCGACATACGATTTAAAATAAAAACAATAATCGTGGCTTGATATAGAGTGACAAAGTCACGCCCATCTACTTCCGGTCCATGGGACTTTATTTCTGTAAAATTATGTATTGAAATCAATGGAGAGAGAAACATTTCGATCCCGTTTGAATTGGGCCATGAATTACACATATGATGTTTGTCAATCTTAAAAAATTATTTCCATGTCAAAAAAGTCACAGTTTGTCTTAAAACTGTTGAAATATAAGACTATGAAAAATACGCAACTAGAAAGACTACAAATCCCCGAGTCACGTACATTAATGTTACACATTACACTCGTGTTACTCACCGAAACCCTGTAAAGCCAGTCCTGCATGCTGGCTCTTACGGAACCGACTAACTCCCCTTTTGTGTATACAGTTCTCAACATGGCCAGACTTGTAGTGATTTTCACCTCTTTTAATACGTTTCACTTCATTCCGAAAGAAAGAGGTGAAATGTGCTAACGTGACGGCCAGAGTTGTAGTTCATTGAGCGCTTCACACAAACAAATGTATTACTTCATAGTTTTACGACACATTTTTATTTTTTTGACTTGCAAAATTATCTTTTAAATGGACAAACATCATATGTGTAATTCGTTGCACAATTCAAACGGGATCAAAAGATAATCTTTCTCTCTCCATTGACTTCAAGACATGATTTTTCCGAAATAGAGTGGCGAAGTCACGCCCATCTACTTCCGGTCCATGGGACCTTATTTCGGAAAAATGATGTATTGAAGTCAATGGAGAGAGAAAACTTATCTTTCGATCCCGTTTGAATTGTGCCACGAATTACACATATGATGTTCGTCAATCTTAAAAAATAATTTCCA